TATGGATGCTCAGTGGAACCTGCATGCCCTGGCATAGTGTAATTATTGGTTAAAATAAAAATCAAACCCTAACAAAGGATGAATGAACCTGTACATGCAACTGTCCCCTGACTGTTAAACACTTCCATTATCCATTGGCTAAGTTCCCACTTTTGTATTTTTCCTTTGAGTAGCTTTTCCTGTTGTCACCTTGTACTTTGCAGATGAAAGCTCTCTTTGCCCCTGGATCTTTAGATTTGGTCCCTACATGCATAACTGAAAACCTGGAGTGGGCTGCAAAGTTTTAACATCCTTACTGTAGCATGGGGGGAGGAATTGGGCTCAGACTGGCGGGCACCGTGCTTGCTGATGGGCCTCCTGGGAGCTCTTGAATGCCCACGCTCCTAAGCTGCAGTGTAGTTGTGCAGCCATCCTCAACCATTCTGCTGGAAGCAAATAATAAACACTTTGCAGATCAGGCCAGAGATGAACGTACAGCTGAGAAAGTGAAGTAGCATCTGTTTGAGTTTTCTACACAGTACATGAAATTCATCAGGTCTGATGTATACTGCTTTCCACAAGACTGCTTCCTGTTGCTTTTTGATTAATAGCAGCTTTTTGGGAGTTGATGTCAACTTGCAGATTTTGTCCATTGGAAAGATGTGTAACTAATTCCTGAGATGGAATGCTAAAAGGAATTCTTGTTTGTATTTATGTAATTATTAAACAAGGAAGCATTTGTATCTGTGTGCCCTGAAATAAATATTAAGGTTGGAATCTTTTAAAGAGTTAAATTAAAGGTTTAATCAGTGTATCAAATGCTTTATCTACCACAGTGTCTGAAGTAAAATCTGATTCCTTGCGTGAATAGCAAAACATGAAAGCTAATAAAAAGGAATTTGTGGGTTGAGCCACATGTGTCTTGCCACCCAGGTGTCAGCTCCACTGTAGGTGAGTGAACACCACTCCCTGAGCCTTTCCCCTGTTGCTCTGAGTCAGTAGTGCTGAGGTAAACAGGAAGCTGCTGTAGTCCTGCAGCTTTTACTCTGTTTACTCAGCACTCTGTAAAATTAAAAAAAAACCATAAAGCAATTTTTACTTAGAATCTCCCCCACTGTGCAGCTCCTCCTGTCCCCCCCCTCGTCCAGCCCCTGTCACCAGTGAGAGGAGTTGACAACTCACATGTGAAATGGGGATGTTGGTGGGGGGGAGCACTCCTGCTTCTCCCTAGGTGAGCAATAAAAGCTTTTCTGTTCTTCACTGCATGTCCCACCTCTGTCCATTGCTGCAGGACTCTGCTTCCTAGGCTTCTCCTTGGTCAGGTCCTCGCCCCAGTACAGTGACCTGTATGGAAATTGAGTCACCTGAGCTCTATGTCTGAACACAATCCAGGGTTAGTTTATGCAACTCTTTAATTCAACATGAAAGTAGATATTCTTGGAGCGACCTAATTGGGGAAAATCCCAGATAAACCTAACACTATATCTTGAAATTCTGTAAGCATGACTTTGGCAAGTGAGCTCTCTATCATGGGGCACCAGCCTGGTACAGCACAGCAGCGATTATCTTGTACTGCACTGCTCCTCTCGGCTGAAACAACACTATGCACACAGGAGGGCACATCCCAGTTACAATAGTTGGGAAGATCAAAGTAAATATCTCAAAAATAGATTAATGTTAAACCAACAACCATTCCAGTGCACACGTTAAGAAATGAGTGGTTGACTATGTGTTGTCTTTTTGGCATCTGAGCAGTTAAATGTTACAACTCTGTGTTATACTAATAAAGTTTTGTGGTGTCAGCACAAAGGTGCTTTTTGGTACATACTGTTGAAAAACCAAAGTTGGCCGCAGTTATCTGCTGTGTTGCCACTTTTGCTGTTGTATCATCCCTGTTGCAATAAAGAGTGTTTTTCTTTAGCCTGAACTGCCCCGGGCATGTGACTACATGACAATCTCCACTCTAGAAAAAAAAAACCAAACCAACCCAACAACTTTATATTCCCTCTGGTTTGTAAATAAGTTCAAAAATTGGCTGTGTTTATACCTAAAGGAGGAAAAAAGAAACCAAGAGAGACTCAACTGTAGTTTTTCAAAATTATTTGAAATTTGGGTGTGATTCAGGGGCATGATTTAGCTCATGCACTTATTTTATAAATCAGTTTTTCCATTTTTGCAGAATTGCTACATACTTCTACTCAACTAGATGAAGCTGTTGGCACAGAAACATCTAGTTTGATATTCTTGATTAAAAACAGCAGTAATAAAACGAGGTCCATGCTAGTTTCTATAATGTGCCCAACCTGTTGTATTCTTACTCACAGTTCATTGGTATTTGATAAGATGAGGATAAATACGCCCAACAAAACTGTAGTTGTTCAGTAATTTATTGAGAAGAAGATAGTATAGTTTCATGTGTAGAACCAGTTTAATTCCAATGTGATGTGATAACACATGCCAGCAGTAATAATTGGTTTGTATCCAGAGGTCTTACAAATATGTCACCTGTGTACAAGAGCTGGTACACTGTATTAAAACTGGATTGTTCAGGCAGTAAAAAAATGCTGTTTGTAGGTCAGAGTTCAACACCCAAGAACCTTAAAAAAGGCATATTGAGGTAAAATTTTAGAATGCATAAAAAGGATAAAAAAATAACACTGAAGCTGTTACACTGCAGGTACAGTTCATCCTTCTGTAGGATGTACACTGGGCACAGTCTTAAAAACAGGATTGATAAAAGCAATCCTGGTCTAAGCAGTAAAGGTCATTGCAGGGTGAGGAGGGCCGTCATGACATTTGGGATTGTTACTCATGCAGACCTCCTCCCCTCCATCAGTTATTTTAGCAAAGCTTGGGGAAGGTGTGAATTGCAGTAGCTGATGGGACTTGTGCGGGGCCGGGTGAGTGCCCTGTCCTGGCCATCGCCCTGTCCCGCTGCTGCGGCTTCAATTTGGGGGCCGCTTGGGCACTTTTGCATGAACTGCTTTGCTATTGATTAAACAGGTAACAGACAGGTACTTCTTCTTCATCTTCTAAAAGTGGTGGACTGCAGATTGAAAACGAATAACTAGATTTTGATTATTCTGATTGCATTAAGCTTTGTCAATTATTTAGTATTTTCAATTGAAATAATGAGCGTGTGCTGATGCAGATTAGAAAAAAAAAAAGAACCTGAATTCCTCAGGAGTCTGGGAAAATAAGTTATGACATAAGTTTAACCTATGTAATGTGTTAAAATGTGTAGAAATATATTATGATCTTAATGAAAAATTGAAGGAAAAGTCTAATTGGTAGACACATAGTTCTTAATCCAAATAATATTTCCTTGCAGTACAATACACTGTTTAAGATGTTTACTATATTATGTAAAAATTTCCTTTAGTAAAGTTATTTCAATTAAATTACGTGCTGAAAAGTAAATGTTTTATAACAAGAGAATAACATTACAGGTAACAAAGTTTTATGCCAAATTAAAGGAAAGATTCAAAACTGTAATAGTTTGGCATCTCTTTGTCATGCTTTGTGATTACTGGCGGTATTGCTATTGGGCATGTTTTTCAAAGATAAATCATGGTTTATTGGGATGTAACTAAAAATAAGAGCTATAAGTATTTTCTTTTATAGTATAGTATCTTCCTGCTTATAACTAAACCACTGAACTGATTATATAAACATTTCTTGTTGGGAGTGAGGTATTTTCAGTCATTTGAAAGTGCTAGTGATGTAATTGGAAATTGATTCAGTAGATGCAGGCAGTGGATTTGTTGTAACTGATACTGTTGAGTTGCAATGGAGTAGTAAACAAATGGTGTTTTAACAAGAGCAGGTTTATTCCCTGGAAATTCTACAAATACTATAATAATTTCTATATCTTTCTTTACTACTTGCAAAAATGTATTGATTTATCCTTTTATCCTTCAGTGTTGTCTTGTTGATGTATCAATTTAAATACCAAGTAATTCAGAAACATTGCAATCCTCTTAATTTTCTATTCTATATAGATAAAAAGAAGCAAAACCTGCAGCTAAAAATAAGGTTAAAGTAATTCTTTTTCTTGATATTTGCAAGTACTCTGAATCTGGTAGACTTTTGTGGGAGGACTGTGTCTACAGAAAGGGAAATCACGACAGAAGGAACAGGTAGCATTAAAATCCACTATTAGCAAGTATTTGATCCTCTTCCGTAGATAACAAAGAAAAATTTTTACCCCCCCCCCCCCCCCCCGCAGTAATTTTATATGCATTAGTGAAATAGCAAAGGCAGAACCTCAGGTGCCAAAGGAGTGAGTGATCGCAGTTATCTACTGGTTGTGCTATTAAATGCACGCTCGTATGCCAGGTGGTTAGATCTGAGGGGATGCTGCAGCCATCCTCTCATCAAGAATCAAGACCTCTGGATCTTTGTGGAAAATAGAGCAGTGTGATACAGGGAGGTGATATGTGGAGAGTCTGGGCTAACCAGCCATTAAACTGCTTTCACCAGCTAACTCGGTGAACTGCAGAATCGATGTGTCCTTAGTCTGCTGATGGGAACAGCTATCCTTGAATTGTCATTGTAAAAGGGTAATTGGAGGCTCCAAGAGTAGTCGGACTGCACAGTGAGGTTGTTTTCCAATAAAACACTCTGTCACAAAATCAAGCAGAGGTACTGCTGGGGACAGACTTTAACCTTAAATTCTCAGGTTAATGTCTTGGCAGTATCAGTCTAATGAGGAAACAAATACCCTAATTTTACCATGAAGCAAAAGGGTTGGTAGAAGGGGGAAAGAAAGAGCCACTTCCAGCTGCTGTTCATGTGCAGCGCTATGAAGAGGGCGGTGACTGAGCAGAAAGGAATTCACTGGTGTGATTGCAGCCTGTGAGCATGGTTTGGTGCTGAAGCCTGAGATTCCAAAAGCTGGGAGACAGAGCAGGGAAATGAGCACCGACATCAGCTAGAACAGGACGTGGCTGGGATGGCATTATTACTTTCTCCAAAAACTTCAGCTGGTACCAATATAGCGTGTACCACACAGCATCAAAATGCTGTCTTCTAGCAGTGCCTACGGGAGACACTGGCCCATGTGTAGAGCTTCTGAGTCACGCTGTTCTGAGATTCCTCTCTCTGGAAACCAGATGGTAGGCTCCCAGTTGACTTCAGTTGATTCTTTAGTTTCAGGATGATCAAGGAAAAATATTTTCAGTTTGATGCTATAGGAGAGGCAGTGGCACTTTACTGATTGAGTTTCAAACTACATATTTCAATTAAAGACCATAGTAATATTTTTTGTAAATGTGACACACAGAGGAAGACTCAGAATAAATTCATCATAGACAAATTGTTTTCTGTTGTTTTAAAAAACAAACAAACAAACCAAAACAAACCAACCAAACAAAAAAAATTCTTTTTCCCAAAGGGGTCGAGGAGACTTTGAGGGCATTGCAGCTCTGGAAAATCTTGTGTTCTTTGGCCTCTGAGATCCCAGATGCTATGTAGCATTTTGTGGAATGCGGTATGCAAATAATCTCAGAGCATGTCTTTGCCGGGGAGATATCAGGAGGAGGAACCAGCACCCATTCTTTGTTTGCATTGATGGTGAAGGAGGGAAGAAAAAATTAACGTATGCGAATATGTGCCAATATTGCACAGGTTCCAAAATGAATTCTAATACTCTGTGGAACTCTGATAGCAAGTTTGAGTTAAAATACATAGTATTTTGTAGTATTACATGTAAGATGTATGATTGCACAAATCCTTTTGAAACCTGTTTTTAATGCAGAAGAGTGACAGATAGAAAAGCTTTGTTATACATTAAGGACTGAGTCAGCCAAGGTGAAGTTTGTTGGGATTGTTCTCTTGCATTTCCTTAACTTGCACAATAAGTATATACAGTTGCAAACTGCATATACAATTTACAGATGAAGAATGAGTGTTTATGGATGCTCACTAACATCACTCAGTGAAACAGTTGGAATGGGGGGGGTGTGTGTGTGTGTATATTTATATATATATACACACACACACACACACACACTCGTTGACTAATTGTTGCTATTGCAAGGCCTATTCTTAATCCACCACAGTTACAGGAAATTTTGCTACTCATGCCATGAGGAGCAAGTCAAACTTAGAACTGCTCAATAAATCAAGTAAGGCAGTTACCATCTAAGGGAAAGTCAACCATATTAAGTAGTTAACTGTATTGCGTTTCCTTGAGAAGATTATTTCTTGGAACACTAGGCCACAGCCACCCAAAAAGCCATGGGATAAGCAAACATGAACTTACAGTTCATTAACTACTTTCTGGTATCTGCCCACTGTCTCTGTAAGTCAAAAACTTACATGCAGTAGCATGATCTGCTCGTAAGTGCATTCCCGTCCTTATTTTGTTCTGTTGAGTAGCTGTGCCTTTTTAAAAATGTTAGTGAATATTAATACTGATGCAATACACGATCCTCACAGTCAAACACTGAAGTAACTTTTATTTTGGTAATGTTCTGTTATTTTACAAGAATGCTGATGTCTTTCCTGACTGCTGAAAATAAGCATAATGTGTATAACCTGCAGACACCTCGCGTTCCCGTAACTTGTGTTACAAGCATTTGCGTTTGCTATGCAGGGCAGCGGGCTCTAGTTTCCGTCTCTTCTCCCCTTCTCCTGGCCCCAGCCGCACTGGCCTTGGCTGCGGGGAAGTAGAGCCGTGGTGCTCCCTGGCTCCAGAGCCCGGAGCAGGAGGTGACAGTGGGGAGCTGCCCCATGGCCAGGCCCTGCTGGCACAGGCAGCACCTGCACAGGAGCTGGTGCCAGCAAGTGTCTGGGCAACTGGGATCTCCCACAGCTTGTAGCAGCTCTGGAGTCAGTTTTTCTAGTCACACTGGGCTGAATCCGCCCCTGTCTGAGAGCAAACAGTGAGAACTGATGAATTTTCCCCCCAGAAATCTTTTTCTCGATATTTTATTTCCCTAGCTGTGGTTTTTAGGATATTAACCTGCTAGTAGTTTCCATTCCTTAATACATTTTTGGTATTTTTAGTTCTTTGCATAAAATGTCTGTCCTGCTGTTAGATGCTCAATATTTTTGCTTTGTTATTTCCTTAAAGCACTGCTTTTTGTCTCCCTTAATGTTTCCCTCATGTTAAATTTAAATAATTTGCTTTTTATCTTTGTCTGTATAGCTGCTTCTTCTGTCTTCCCTTAATTTCCTTTCTGATATATGGTCACATCATTGCAGCCAATATCTCTGTTTTTTCTAACATTAGATATCCAAGAGCTATTTTGGAGCACTTTTGTCTACTATGGCTTCTCAGTTTTGATTATCCATGTCAAGGACCAAAATTCACATTGAATATTTCTGCAATATTCTCTGCTGAGAACAGCAGGCACTTTCACTTTATAGAAATATGTGAAAGATTCCTGTAAATGGATTATAAAAGTTTGCTATTTTGGTGGATGATATAATTGCAAAAAAATATTTTTTTCTTTTATTTTTAGATGGAAAAACTGATACAAATTTGTATGAGACTACTGATATGCCTCCGTTGGTAGAAGCATTGATGTCAGGTGTAGAGTAAATGTTGTGCAGCTTTTTCAGTTTTGTGTCATCTTTGGTTAAGATGATGGCTGTGTATCATTTAGTATTGTATTCATAATACTAATCTGAATAATAGACACATGCCTCCAAAACCATAAGGATTTTATGCAATAGTACTGTCATACCTGAAAAGGGAAAGAAAAGGTCACACTCTTATGATCATTTGACACTCTTACTCCCTTGTGGAGCCTGAAAAATCCCTTCTGCACTGTGACGGTGGATTGATGTTTGCTACTGAAAAAAGCTGTCAGAGATTCAGGATGGCAGTTTTTCCCTTTGTGGGAACCAAGAATGATTATTTATGACATGTAGGTTGTTGTAGTTTAGATAGTTCTGATGAAGAGAGAGAAACAAGGCTCTTTCTCAGGGGCAGAATATACAGTCTCTTCTGATCCCTTGTTTTTAGCACTTTATTTTTAGATATACTATTTTTAAACAGCTTGAAATACAAGAATATTTGCTTTTTTTTCCTCAGTTAAAAGAAAACCCTGTTGTGACACAGCATGAGTCAGTCTTTTTATAGCCACATCGAATACATGTCGCTTAGGATAATATAAAAATATACAAACAATAATAAAGGCAAAAATAAGAAACCAGCAGTTGCTATTGTAACACAGGGTGGAGGGCAGCAAAAAAAAATGTTCTGTAAATAAGTGTCTCATCAATATTTATTATTAATTTCAAACAAAACCGTAATATGCTTTAACCATATCATACCAATAGTACAGAAAGTATAGACAGTATTTAGAACTCAGGAAGTATTTTACATCCCCTCTCTTGGTATTAATTTAGCAATTGTCTTAATCTGTTAATGAGTGGGTGTTAAGGGAGATGTACAAAGTGAGAGTAGAATTAACTTTTTAAGTTCTTTGGAGCCTTGGTTGTTTTGGTGCTGAAGATAATAACGTGTTGGAGGTGGAGAGGACAGTGCTGCCTGGTCTGTAGCCAGCTGGTAACTGCATATGCACTCCTGAAGCAGTACGGCTCGGGAGCAGTAGGCTTCTAGCTCACAGGGTCATCTTGTGACTCATAAATATTATTCTTGTCGGCGCAAAGCAGATCTGATTTTAAGCCTAAACCAGCGACCAAATGAGTAATAACAGCTGACAGCAATGCAGCACACGCCTTTAATTCCAGCTTCACCAGCCCAGCCTTCATTCCCCGCGCAACATCAGGTGCTGGGTTTGAGGCTCAGGGAGAGCCTGAAGGAAGCCTGGCAGCCAAGTTGTTCAACACTCATGTTTCCACTTCTGTGGCTTTTAGCAGGCTGTTGATGTGTTTTTGATTTCTTGTGTTTTCCTAATCTGCCAAGCTCATCTTTTTACAGCTGCTTAGGCATTGTTAGTGCTGACACAAAGACTTCCATTTGCTTATTTATTGTACATTTAGATCACGTCTTTCACTGAGAAAACCTAAGAGAAGCCAGGTTGCTATTTGCTGCCATCCAATCTGCAGGGCTAGGCTCAGGGATAGACAGCAAGCTCTGAGCCTCTCTGTTTGCCCAGGTCTCACCATGTCGCAGGGGAGCTTTGCTGGAGTTGCTGAGTCCTCACTGTGGCTGGTGCTGACATGGGAGTGTAAGGCATCTGTACTGACCCTTGTTCTGCTGGCTCTGAAGTTCCTGGTCAGTCCCAGGTGACCTGACCTGTCCCTGGAGCAGGTGGAGGGGAAAGCGTGTTGTGTGAAGGGCAACAAAGGACAATTGGCAGCTGAGTGAATTAGTCGGAGTCCTCTCTGCAAAGCAGGTTCAAGTTAAGGTGAGCACTGGGTAACTTAGGTATAAATTGTCTCTGGATTAGAGCACTGCATTTTTATGTGGATGGAAGAAAGCTCTAGCTAAAATAAAAGTTAAATACTCAAGAAATATGCAATAAGAACAAATCGTTAGTGTTTGCAATGTGGGCAACTGAGAAGCATTGTAATTTTTAAGTATGTATCCTTGACCTTTAGGAAATATGCAGCCTGGAGAAGAATTGCTTTTACAACTGCTATGAGGTGGATTTTTTTCAGATTATTTATGACAGGAAGATTTTTATTACTATTATTTTAAAACTATATAAAAGCAGTTAACTGCTGTCTGGACATGGTTATAGTACTAATTGGAAATGATTGAAGTTGATAAATTTAGGTTAGACTCTGTAGTCATCACTCATGCTTGGAAGAGCAAGAACTTGTGGGTAGGTGCTGTCCTGTAGAAACAGCACTCCCTGTTTTGTTGCCCAGACCAAGGCAGTGCTAACCACTGCTCATAGCCATCCTACTTCCATAGGTTCCTGGAGAAGGGAGAGTGAAACTTAACTAGTTAGGCACTACTAAAGCTTGGGTTTATTTTTAGATCCTAGGCTTCTGCTGTCTGGCAATAATCTGGTGATGATTTGCTGCTTTTCTGTGTATTTGCATGTAGGGCCATGCTTTAAATGGCAAAAAAAAAGTAATTCCAAACTACTGACAGAAACTGCCATTTCAAATGTGATACAGTATTAATGTGAACTACTTAACTTCCATGTTATTACTCTCTTGGATATTTAGGCTGCTGCCTTTTTATGCCTCTCTGCATCCTTTTCCATTTGACTGTGTGTGATGGTGTGGTACTCAAGTTTGATTACAGCTGCACGTTATAGCAGCGTGTAAGCGCTGAGGAGAGCTGCTCTCTGGGCAAGCTGAGCCTTCCTGGCATTGCCCCTCGTGCTTGCACGCTGGTTTGCATTGCTTTTGGGAAAGAACCCTTTGGCCTGGTAATATGTGTGGCTTAATCACAGTCAGCAACAGTCACTGACTTTATAAAGGCTGCTGTTTTGCAAACTGTGTGCACATTTTCCATGTATCCTGTGGCTTTGTGAGCTTTGTCCTCTTCTCATTGAATTTCTGGGTCTGATGCCATAGCTTCCAATGGGAAGCTTGATTGTTTTCCTGTTCTCATTTCGTACACATTTTCTGTAGCTTACTCGTATTACCGGATCCTAAACCACATTCTGTACAGCTTTGTGAGGAGTGTAATTCTCTGTATTTTGATACCATACCTTTTTGTCCATCCTGCCAGTTCCTTTTTCCAAGTGTAACATCATAAATAGCTGATCAGCATGCTGAAGGAAATTGTACTTCTCTGTTGGACTCCTGTTTTCTCCAGTAACACGACCTTCAACTGTTTTTTTTAAGTCGCATGTTTTATAACAATTTCCAAAAATTACTTGGTTCCATCGTTTCTCAGTGCTTCTAGGTCACTGCTTCCATTGTGCAAATATAAAATTGACATGTTTCACACTAACTAAGCTAGTTTAAGCTTATTATTTCATTGAAGCTCATGTAAGCTTGTGGATGTTCAAGAAAATTGCTGAGAATGTGCGTTTTCAGACATATTTACCTCTGCTGTGCTATATTTAAAAACATTCTTTTAATTCAACTTTGCAGGTATTCTTCAGTGTTATTAGCAGTGGTGGAGCTGCATCAGTGGTAGCAATGGCTGGAGACATACAAAGTCTATGAATTCTGTGCTGTCTGCAGTAGCAAAGTGGGTCTGGTTTTAGTAAATGTTAGTTTATCTTGAGATAAATCCTGTTGGTCCTTGGTTTTTATGTCAGTCAAGTTGAGATGAGGCTAACCTATATGCCTGACTCTGTTTGCTAATATACATTAAATCTGTTTTTTCATTAGTTTTGTTTGGCTTTTCCCTCCCCTAATAGATGCAGTGTAGTTTGTGGAAAAATGTAGTCTCAGACTGGTTTAATGAACACTTTTAGCCAACCCAGCTTAAAATAAGAATCCTGTGCTCCCCTGACTCCATTGCCTGGTGTTGGTACAAGTGCTGGACCATTTACATGAGGAAACGATTTGGCACAGGCACTTTTGTGTTAGTACAGTTGCATGGGTCATTTGCTGGTGCTGAAGTGTGTACACACAAAAGTTGCACCTCTGTAAGTTGCTCATGTCCCATTTCAAAATACTTGAGTGCAGCCAAAGTATTTAGAGTACCTAATTTTTCTTATCAGTAAAATTATGCATTATTTTATTCTGAAAAATACTTTATAATAATAAATTGCTTGTATTCTGATGAATATGACTTGATCCCATAACATAGATGAGAGCAGCGTAGCTAAATCACATGGTTTGAAATTGCGGTATTAAAAAAATGCACAGAATTGCCATTTGTAGGAACATCTTCCTTGACAGCATCCTCGATAACGTCTCAGTGTAAAATGTGTTAATTCCAGCATCACTGACTTCAGAATTGCATAAACTAAAATTAAAGTATAAACAGGTAAGAGGGCAGAACTCCATTAGCATTATCTGCCAGGCTACAGAAAACAGGTTTGGATTTGGAGAACAGATTTATCACTGAATTAATAGCATTGATCTGGACCGGATTTAAATTTGTTTGTGAGTGTATCCATAGAACATAACTACTGTTCAAATCAGCTGGTACAGTTTTGAAATGTCACAAGTTTTCAGTAGCATCCTGAAATAGTAGCTTCTAAGTGTGGAGAGAGAATATCTATTTAGATGTCAGTTAAGCATGGTGACTAACAGATCAAAAGGGACTGTTAAAACATGCAGCCATCAAGCTGCGTAACATAATCTGCAGAACATCACTGAATACTTACTGCATCAGGCTCGCAGCTTCCATTTCAATAACAGTATATGTGCAGGTTTGGCTTAAAAAACTGTAAAGGATGGAGAATCTGCTGTACGCAGTTTAATAGTTCACGTGGTAATTATCCTCACTACTAATAGTTGCACTGTAGGAGTGTAATTTTTGCATCCTCAGCTTCCAATAACTCCATCTCAGTTGGAATAGTTGTTTTTTTCTGCTGGATTAGAAATGTCTGACATCTGAAATCCCTTCTGTGTGTAGATATTCACAGAGCCCCATGGAATTATTTTCTAATTTTTGAGGGCGCTGCAATTCTTTAATAGTTCAGAGGCAAGTCAGCTGACATAATTTATGTATGCTTTTACGTAATGCCTGGATCAAAGAATAGAATTTAATGAAAGAAAAATATTTTGGAAGTTGGAATTTGGATAGATTGTTTTCAGGTATTTAATGCTAATGAGAAACGTGGTAACCTTTTTGATGTTTATTGTGCTTTCCTGCAGGGCAGCAAAGGACACTACAGATATCACTGGCAGAGCCACAATGTCAAGCACAGTGGAGTGGATGATATGGTCCTTCTTTCCAGAATCACAGAAGATTCCATAGTGGAGAACCTGAAGAAACGATACATGGATGATTATATTTTTGTATCCTTTATCGTGTTGTTTCTAGCAGGACCCTGTGAACTTGCTGAGCCAGTGTGAAACTAGTTATATGTATGTATTCTATTTAAGCAGATTACTCAAAGATGCTGAGCATTTTATGTGACATTTCACCTGAGATTACACAAAATGCTTTGTAAACTAATTATGAGAGTTGAAATTAAGATCTGAAAAATTATTTATACTCATTCTTTTTGATATTTGGAATATTCTTTTTGATAATTTTTGACATTACTTTATTTACAACTTATTCTGTAATTGTTAATACTGTGAATCATGGGCTGATGAAAACAGGTGAGCATGTGAATATCTGTAAATCTAGTGTTTGCACTTTAAATTTTTTTTCTATGATTAGTGAAAACATGAAAGGTTTAAATACCTGAACATATAACCTAACAAGAAAACCAGATTTCAGCACCAAAGGTTAGCATTTTTTTTGTATATTTTGTATGAAAGGGATTCCTTGAGATAAGAAGTCACTATTTCATTTTTAACTTTCTCATTGTAACACAAGCTGCAATAGTGAGTTTGGTCAATATGATTATGTACTCAAAAGTGATACTGTCTCTTCTGCTCTAGTCAGGTTCTCATACTTCCTAGTTGTATCTGAAGAATGGTTTCCTTGAAGGGTTTGACATTTTAGCAGAATGGAAGGAAATATAACATCTCCTGGCTATTTCTGTGTATTCAGATGGTTAAGAGCTAAGTAGCAGCTCAGTTTAGCAAGGATGGATAGAGGAAAATTATTGTTGCAGTTGTGCTGATGTTTCCATCCCAAACTGCGGAGGTTTTTAATATGTGTGTGCACATGGATTTGGATCCTCTCTTCCTGGAAAGTAACACACTGTTATTAAATTTGCCCTATAAAACATGATAAATTTGGACAATTTTTGTCAAACTGTGGTATTGGGGCAAACTATAGCGCCCTTGCTGCTAGTAACACGAGCACTTTTGTACCTGTGGAGCACTGCATCTTCCATGCAGTACATTCATAAAGTCTTCAATGCTTTGTGCTGAAGAAACAGTTTTATGCTTTGTTTCTTACAGAAATAAATGAGATTAACATGGAGATGGTCTTTTTACTGAAGCAGGAATAAGTATGTTTTCCAAGGGGACTTGGGGTCACATGAGTGATCAGAGTCTTCTTTGAAAGCATTATAATTCCTTTGTGTAGGGAGAAAAGACTCCTTTTGCAGTTCTGCGAAGGCTTTCATTGTAAAATGGAGATCATCTCTTGAATCTTTCAGTTGTTTGTATGTCCACCCATGAATGAACATTTCTCTGTGCTATGTTGCATAGAGAATTACCAAATCAGCCCAGAAAATGCTGGTATTGTTTACCAACAGAAAACTGTCACTCTGGATGTTTGTACTGACACAATGAACGCTTGATTTATTATATTTGAGACCCAGATGTTGTTACTCTTCTTTGAATTAAATTTAAATGAATGAAGAAAGCGTTGCAAATTAACAATACAGAAATTATGTTCACTGAGTTATACTTCTTCTGTAACATGTCACTGTTTTGTGCTGTGGCACCACAGTAAGAGATTCTTACATAGGATAATCCAGCAGGATATATTTGTTAATTTTCCTGCGTTTGTATGGAAAGCTTAGATAGTCAGCTTGCCTGTGAGCAATTCCAGATTGCTAAATGAAACTTGCAGTATGACATTTTGGACTCGTTGACATGGGTACACTGCTAACTCCCAGCTCAATCAACCTGTCCTGCCTGTAAAGTACTATCAGTTGCTTCATATATGTATACTGCAATTGTAATTCCAAAGGTTTCTCAAGTATATTTTAAATGCAGGTACATGTGCAGCTGAATGCAGAACGCTGAAATGCTAACATTAAAAAATGTTGCAAAGAAGTTTTCTGGAACTAATAATAGGTTGAAACTGAGTGTCGTCTTGTAGGGGCAGTCTGCGGGATAGGACCTAGGAACTGTTAATAGCTACACTCATAAAATAACAGCACATATTGAATTACCTAGTTCCTTTAGCTCCCCCACTCATGCAGCTGAGTAATTGTCCGGTTCAGCTCAGTAGTGGCTGTTTCCATCCGAGTGTGCATGCTCAGCACTATCTCTGTGAGATCAGAATGTGTGACTATACTATATTCTGCAAAGGTCAAAACAATCCTCTCTAATACTGACAAAACAACTACCTCAGTTACAAAGGAGTAAAACAGTTTAAATACGCCGTTTCCTTTCTGTATTTTTATTAAAGACGTGTCATGTTTGGGCCTCTAAGACATGTTTCTATACTTAGCTTGTCCTAAAATAAATATTTTGATAATATGAAAGCATTCCATTGAATGATATGTTTATATTCATGTAAGCCTGCTAATTTCATTTTTATTAACAGTTGTTGTAAGCTGTGGGTTTTTTACTATTATTTGAAGCTGTGCTGTATTATGTAATAGATGGAAAAGTTATTTGGTGGTTACTAGTGGTAAGATAAAACTTTATGAAACTGTAGTTACCTTAACTTCATTTGACAACAGACATATATTGGCTCTGTATTAATCTCTGTGAATCCTTTCAAGCAAATGCCATATTTTGGGGAAAAGGAAATTGAAATGTACCAAGGAGCAGTAAGTAAAGCAGTCTAAAATGTACTGCAGTATTCAGGGGCATGTAAATATTATTCTACATGGTTAAACTCTTGGAAGCATTTGTTTTTGGGTTTTAGAACTGTTGCACTAGCCTGGGAGATCTTTGCTGATATCTATTATTATACTGAGTCTTGAAATTGAATTCCCTGGAACATAGGATTAGTATTTAAAGAAAATACTTGTATTGATTAACTCTAATCTGCATCAGGTTTCTCTCCTTGACACTTCCCTTGTCCTGCAAAGACAGTTTTGAAGCTGTTGTATGCTTAAAGTGTGGCACACAATACAAAACAACCTTTAGTGGATTTGGAGACTGACTTGAGAACTCTCAAACTGGACGAGAACAATAAAAAAATGGAGATGCCAAAATTAGATGCCACTTTTGAAAATATAGCTTGAAGACTGAGTCAGTGCAAGGACATTAGGGACTTAAAATTCATTTGGGCGTGAATGCTCGAGTTGGGTGTGTCCATAGATTTGGGAAACGCTGTGGTTTGAAAGGACTCAGTGGATGAAAATAAGACATACAGCACCAGGCTCTGTGTAGCAGTTTAGGTAGTTTATTGTTAGCATATGACCACTGGTGGAATAGGCTTAAATTATGTGAGTTTCTTTTGGACAAGTAATATATTTCAAGTACAGACCATTTTTAGAACAGGGTGTTTATGATAGTTTAGGAGAAAATTATGGATGAGAGAAAGAACAGTAACAAAACCCAGAGACTTTGGTTTGTTTTTATTAAATGAACAAAAAAATTCTTGAGGAAGATTCAGTATAAAGTGGGATTCAGAATTGTTTTTCCAGGAAAATAATTCTTCCAATTTAAACAAAAATTTGTATTGCTCTTTCTGCATTGTTTAATGCTGTGTTGGAAAATTATTCTCTATTTCCTCTCCTAGGCACAATATGAAAACCCACCACATATTTATGCTCTTGCAGACAGCATGTACAGAAACATGATTATTGACAGAGAAAATCAGTGTGTCATTATTAGGTAAGGAAAAGATCTGTAAAAAATATTTATCATCTTCTTTTGGTGTTTTAACTTCAAGAAGAGGAAAAGTTTATTTTTTATTATGTCAATAAAAATCTTTTGTGTCCATGACCACTAAACACTTGGGGGTTTTCTAGGATAGCTAAGTACTTTCTGACCCTCCCCTTTGTTTTCCAGTGAAATCCTGGTGATAGCTTAACCACAAGAAATCTTTCTCACAAAGCCAGCTTCATGCCTGTTACCAAAACTGCAATAGCTTGAATGACTGTGTGAGATAGATGGATTACCAACTGTAGCAGCCACAGATACTGTTAAATCCAACATTCTCACATAGTCTGCATTTACCATATTCTGGTTTTAGTACTATTTCTTTTTTTTTTTTCCTTCCGTTAAAAATAGATGTACTTTTGTTCCTTTCGGATTTTTACTTGCATTCAGTCAGAGACAAAAGGAGGAGAGAGATACTGGAAAAGTTATTTTGTCTTCTCTATTACTCTATTTTAATTATTAGGTTGAAAGAATTAACTTTAGAATTATTACTGAACTTTTTTAATGACAGGCATTACTTAAGTCACAAAGTGAGTTTTGTGTCCAGAGGAGTGCTTTGTTGTCATCTGTGGGTTTAAAGATGGTGCATGATAAAAGACAGTGTGCAGAGAACAAGGACTGCAGGATATTGGGGCTAGTATGCTATACCTCTTCTGACTTCCCTTCTAGAAAACTTAAGAGGTTCACTGTAGTGCACCTGGAACTGTGCTTTACCTGTGGCAGTGGTCTCCAAAGTGAGGTGCATGCATCACAGGGCATGTGAAACCTGCTGGAATGCAGGAAGAAAATATTAGACCTTCAGTAGAAGATGCATGTAATTTATAAATAGAAAAATTATGTATGTACATTGGGAGTGTGTGCTCAGACACTTTTTAAATGAGATCAAAAACATTTGAAGACCACTGGTCTATGAGACTTCCCCAAGAACTAGGGAAAAGAAAGAGGATAAAAAAGAAAATATAATTTGAAGGGGAGTTGTCATTATTTTATTAATAACAGCTTTTCTTAAGCTTTCTATCATTTTTCTGTGGAACATGCTGAGAGGCAGGACTATGAATTTAACTGCTGTTGAATTTAACAAAAGAGAGATTTCCAGACTGAATGTTTTCTTTGTCCAGGGGCCCCTCTCTGGTCTTCTCCCTGGGGTGGCTGTGTGCTCTGCAGTGTCACAGCCCCAAGGGGACAGGTTGTCAGTGGCGATCAGATCAGATGCTCTGTAGCTTAGTCCCTTAGGCTGCAACTTTCCAGGAAATGGTGTATGGTCACTGATGTTTAAGCTTAAATGCCCTTGCACCAGGTACTTACCAATTTAATGTTGTCACAGGAATATTATAAAGAACCAGGCTTAGTATGTGGGTCTTACATGTGGAGATGCTCCATGTGCAAACATTCCTGTACCCTACTGAATGATCCAGTGTGAAAATAGAATTTATATTAATGTATCTCACTGATGAGCTACTGTGAAAGCTTGTGAGAAATAATTGCTTGAAAGTTATATTCACTGTTTTTATTTCTTTGAATCTGTGCCTGGGGGTCATCCAGGCAGAGCTTTCCTGGGTGACTTGTTACAGTGGAAAAGTGCACAGGTGTGTCCCTCTTTCTATAAGCAAAGTGTGTGCAGGTATGTGGAAACTGTTGCTGTAGGAAGGTCAAACAGGCGTTAAGAGTTTGCTGCACCTATAAGGGCCTCCGTGTTCCTGGGCTTCTGGCTACAGAGTGGTGCGGAATGAAACAAAATGCCCAGAGGTCATATTCCTGTCTCTCATATATGTGAATTGTTCCCTGAGCTCAGTCTTTGTTTTAGGAAAACTGATGCCTGTTGCCATGCTGAAGTTACTAGTCCCATTTAGTCAAATTCAGATCTGTTAGGAATGGGAAAACTGGGATTTATTTTGCTTTTTGAACAAAGTAACATCCCAGAGCCTGGGATGTTTTACATGAAGCTAAATTTATAGTGAGAACCTTTAAACTGTGGTAAACTGTGATTAAAAAACATCTTTTTTTAATCCATTGCTAATGCCCCAAAGTACAACGAATGCAGATGGTCACATTTTCACAGAGCTGAGATGCAGATTTACAGGTGTAAATTCACAGAGCTGAGATGCAGATTTACAGGTGTAAATTCATGTGAGAATTCTTGTGCTTGAATGATGGATGATACATTCTTTGGAGTGTCTGCATTTTTTATGTGCAGTTAATTTTCTCTCACTGTGTGCACAGCCTATTCAAAATCTGCTGCAGTTAATTGAAATTATTGCAAAACTGAACCAAGAAGAATAATGTTTGCCAGGGACATTTCAGAGAGTCTCTCTTCTTTTCTACACATTTTTTTTCCTATGATTATGCTTCTCACAAACACTGTAAAAACTGCAGACTAGACTTACAAGTAGTTTTCATTATGGTATTTGATATTTTGGGACACTTAGAAATCATTTGTATGAAATCATGTAGCTCGGCCATTCACAAAATTTATTTTATTTGGTTGATATTTGAATCCTCTCAACCGCATTTCATTTAAAATGTTTAGGTACATCCTGTATTTTCTGATTTTAATGTCATCACTATTTCTAATGACTAGAGCTGTTTTAAGAATGAAGTTTCTTGAAGCTTGGAATTTGCTTGCTTACATTTTATTTCATAGACCAAAAGGCACTGATATTGCTGGCAGAAGCTCCCACAATGCTGCAACTCTTGAGTGAAATGAATGTTCTAGCTAGCTTCATGTCTACTACTACACCATCAGTTTCACTTAATAGCTGCCAAGGACTTTACTATTTCTGCCCCTAAACTGGTGATTCTCAGAAGACTGAGATATATTTCTGTATGTCTGTCTTCAGTTCCACAGAAGTCTGCTTTAACCTAAGCAGTTTTAAATGAAGCTTTGTGTTTCAGTGAACCATAGTTTTTGCCATAAAAATCTGTCCTGTGGAAAATGAGCGATGGTAACAATATGGTTATTATGAGGTGCCAATTTGCTTCTCTACTTCACCACTAGTCTGAATTTGGGTCACTGAAAATCCCTGGTGGAACAGAAGGAACAGAGCAAGTTAGTACATAAACAAACCAGGTTTTTTCTTCCTTTCCCCCCTCAAGATGGCAGATTATCCCCCTGAAGAAAGGTTTGCAAAAAGAGTAGGTAGAGGAGTAAGGCATAGGCTGGACTGATTCACAGTCAGCTCAAAAAGGCATTGTCTAGCTTATGGTGCACACGGAGTCTCAGGAATGGAGAAACAAGGATGATGGGGAAGGGGCTAGTGCACACCTCTGTCTTCCTACAGCATGTGGTTTGAGGGTACGTGCATTCCTAGAGACTAGACACAGATTTCCAGGCAGGTAAAGGAAGGTCCCTGCAGGGTCCTGCTGCAGTAAAGGACCTTGTGTGTGTGTGTGAGGATCACGGGCCCTTTGCTGGGACATTTAATTCCAGAATTACAAATAATACATTCAGATACTGATAGAAAAAGCTCATTCTTTTCAAAAAGTCAGTGAATGAACTAGGAAAGCAGATCTAAAAGTAAATACAGTTCTCTGAAAGGCTAAATAGATGGCAACCAAAAGTAATATTTTTTAATGTGATAATACCAATTTTAAAAGGGTTACCAAACAACCTTTCCAGGGCCAGGGAAGTCTGTTTCCTTCGTGGAGTAATTGCAGCATATATGCGTATGCATTGAGAAAATGTATATGTATGCATGTCTAACTATAGCCGAGGAGCCGAGAGCTATTTTGAATGGCTGTTAAGAGTGTCAACAATGAGGTTATTCATGGGCTGGGTTCTGGCTGGGCTGCATGCAGGTGCAGAGTGTGTGCTCAGGTGGGAGGAGGGAGCAGTACCCACAGTTGTCTTCCCTTGTTTTATACACCGGGCAGAATTACAAAGGAAGTAACGCAGTTACGCTGGAGTTTGATTTCTCATTAAGTTGATATTTTACTAAGGCATGATATTTAATTTAAGCCTCTGTTGAACCAAGCTCGTAAATGTCTGCTACAGCAGACTGGTCACATTTCCTCCTCACTTGAAACGGCAGCCCTTCCAAACTATCAGCAAGGAGTCGGCCAGTCAAGATTTTAATTACAAAGGATTGTCTGTTGTGGCTTTTAATTCCTTCTGGACTATCGCGGTCCTTTAATTAAGAGAGTGAAGGTTATGATTTAGTATTATTTTATTATGTAGCAATAAATGTGTTTCTTTGGAGTTTTCTTAAGGTTTTACCTTTCTATAAAGTTGAGGACTTTATTTTCGCTTTCTTTCTGTGATCTCTGCCAGGAAATGTTGCAGCTGCTTTAAAGCAGTTTTTCAGTCCTGCTTCTTTGTGCTTTTACTTTACATTTTACATCTATGTGGCAATGTTTGAGTACAGTAAAGCTATGTATGATGGCTGCATACCTGAAAAGACAATACATCTGTCATTCATAAAATTAAATTTAGAGAGAAGGATGAGGCTATGTATTGGATCTTGCTTGCTTCTCTAATCACTGATATTTCCTCTGGGAAGGAAGGAATGAACAAAAAATTTTCCCTCTGCGTTTGTAGGTTTAACTCTGATTTCAGCTGTTAATTGACTTTGCTGAACAAAACATCACTTCTGTGACGTAGCAGATAGTGCTAGAAGAAACAATATGTCTTTCAAAGCATTATCTTTTTTGTTAGTGATTGAGACTATGTAATGTTTTTATTTTTAGTAAGGAACGTCTCTGAGAAAATTTTCAGTACCACAGTTTTTTCAACCTTTAAAAACCTCCGTATTTGCATCGTACTTAGAACTACCAAGCTAGAAAATTATTCTTATGTCTTTAAAAATGGTTTTAATAGCAGCAAGGCAGTAAGATGTGTGTGAAAAAGCTTCTGTATGAGAATCATTTGTCAGGATGCTACAGTTTCCCTGTTAAGGCTGACTACCTGAGCTTTTATGGGGGCAAGATACCATCCCATCAGATAAAGGTACTTTGGTTCATAAATAATGCATTGTCCTTTTTTATTGTAGTTTAAGTGAAGCAATTTACTGGTCTCTGATCAATAAAAGCATAAAACTGAAAAAAAGTGTATGCATGCATAAATCTAAAGCAAACTCTGAAAGCCAGTCTTTTGGCCAAATTAATTTCATATAAAGGACCTCTTATATCAAAACAGAGACTAACAGTAAAATTGAACTATATTCCTTCAGGACAATTTCTGAGGTAGACATTATGGAATGAGAAATATAAGCCACACTTAATTTGAACAAAGAGGAGGAGAAGGATAATTTATGCATCAAAGAAAATCTTACAGAAATGTGTTACATGTTTACTGCATGATAAATAGTACCTGATCAAATTCCTTCAGTGTTTGGCCCCAGATCCTCCTCTGTATTCAGTTTAAAACTGCATATATAACTCAAGAGTATGTTTTTGTCTGGATTGGTTTGTTTGTCTTGTTTTACAACAGCATAAGGAAATCCACTGCAAGCAAATTTTGAAGGAATGTTATTGTAATTATCAAACTGTTGCTGATTTGGACTTTTAAATACAGTTTGCCATTCAGCAAACTCTGTCTGTCCCTGGGAATGTAGTAGATAGCAATAGTACAAGCTTTCTTCTTGATGCCTAGGAAGAGATGAGTTGGCATAGTAAAAATCATGGTCTGCACTTAAGTATTTTTTCACCTTTTCAAGTTTCCTGTTTGATCTATCAAACTGCAGTCAGGAGAAGACAAAAGCATGAAAACATTTCTGAGGGGGGGAAAGAAAGAAAACCTTTCGGTATTTCTGTACTGTTTGGAAGCTTTAAAGATTTTAAAATGATATTTGCAGCTTGGCAGTCTGGGGAGCTTTTTCAGCATTAAACCTTTGGAAATGTCTCCATTACTCATGCTGGTAAGGAGCTATGAGTTGGCATTCTCAGCAAGTCCTTTTCCTGCGCAGGACATGCTGATGTTTCTCTGGCAAACGTAGCTAAAATTTGTGAAGGAAGAGATGTGCATTTGATACATATCCAAGAATGAGTAGGCGCAGGATAGAAGAGTCAACAACATTCACTGAAATTATTCAGGAGCTTAAAGATAGCACAGATTTTCATACAAGAAAAAAAAAATCAGATATCTTTATGACATTTAACCAACATCTGTGTGTTGGTTTTTTGTATTAGTATAGTTGTCCAGGTCAGGGTAAATTCATTAAGGTCAAAGCTGACTTGCACCAAGATTTATGTAAGTCTGGAGGAATTCTATTGAAAAAAAGTTAGCTTTAAGGTATGAAATAAAGCATGAGGTTGGATTGTCTGGCCTGCCAATCTTCCTTCCTTCTTGAAAAGCTTGCTAATCACGAGAAGGCAAAGCTACTGACATCGTAGATGTTATTCACCATTGAAGTGAAATATTATAACGGAAGGAAGGACTTGTGAAAGCTAGTATGGAATATTAAGACTTCTTGTACCCTGTGTCAAGAGGCATAGGAACAGGAAGGTAGTTCCTCCGTCATTCAGGATGTGATTAATAATGTCTCATTATTTCATTCAGGAACACCTAAAACAAAAGACTCCTGAAATGAAGTAGGTATCTGGCATGGCATTCAAAGCTTGGATTTTTGAATGAGTTTTTGTCTTAAGATCTGAAATCTCACTAAATTTAGATGGGAATTGAGTTCTTAACATGCTTTTTCTTTTGTTCTCTTTTGATCATCTTGGTTTAAGTATATTTATTTCTCAATTTACATAGTTTTCTGACTTTGAAGTCCCATGGAGATTCTGGTGTTCATGAAAGATGATGTATTAAAAATTATTTATTTACAAACATAACCAAATACCATGCTACAATACTATATCGCAGTCTATATATTACCAGCTTACCTGATATAAATATGGTATATACTTATTATTGTTCATTGTTAAGGTACCCAGTCTTGGTTGAACAAGATAAACCTCAAATAACTCCATTCTAGAGCTACTTAAAAACTAACAGGTACATTTTTGTGTTCCTTTTTTCTTAGTGGGGAAAGTGGTGCTGGAAAGACTGTGGCTGCTAAATATATCATGAGTTATATCTCCAAAATTTCAGGAGGTGGCCCTAAAGTACAGGTGAGTTGATATAGAGTAATACTGAAGCATAAGCATCATCTAAAGTTTTACTTCAGAGGTAGAATGACAAAGGTCTGTCTTGGCAGACACTGGCAGCCAAGATGTACTCTACTGAAAAAGCTTGTGGGTGAGCAGCTAGAAGAAATACAAGCCCTCAACAGCAGAGGGACAACTGAAGTGGATAGTGAACTGCTTGCTTGCAGGTTGTTGGGCTGTCTGTGTGATGGGAGCCATATGAGGGAAATCATCAGACCGAGAGAAATCATCTCTGCTATAAGTTTTGTAGCTCTCATGGTGCAATTCTGTCAACAAGCATGGGGTTTTTTTAGTTAAGGGGTAAAAAGTTCTTAACCAGATTAACAACCAGTCTGCTTTCATTTTAGTAGATGCGTAGGTTTCTTCCTCCTGTGTTGGCATTCTTTTGAAAACTGAACAGGCTTTTTGGGTTTTTATTACTTCCATTAAATCTCTGATTTGTATGCATACGTCAGAGAGCCAACAGCAGGAACATCATCTTGTTTTGTGAGGTTATCTAGTCAAAAGCAGAGTATCTGAAAGCTAGCTGAAACAACAAATAGTTGCTTTTGTGAATAACTATACTATCAATGTCTGCTCTATCTATTGAAAACTATTAACTAAAGCTAATTGAGTTAATTATCCATAAATATTCCCTTAATGATGTTACAGTGTCATTCACTGACTGACAGGCAGCGGTAGGTAGGTAATAGCTGCTTTTACCAGTCCACTCTTTTTGAGTGCTTACTGTTACTTTTTGCTTTATTGACATTGAGTATGTTCTTTCTTCTTAGTTTTGCAGTGATACTGAGACCATTGCAGAGAATAGTTCAGTAGCCAAGAGAATGTTCACAGAATCACAGATAAAGTGTGCATTGTGCTATTTTTGGAATAAAAATAAGTAAATGTTTTGTTTTATTTGAAAGATTCCTGCTTTTTGTAAAAAAATAAAAAATATTCTTTGTTACAGAGTAACAGTTGATGAAGTTGGTAAATTGCCTTGAGCATTTATTTTGAAATAAAATTCAGTCCTCTCTTCACAACCCAGCATGCACTGAGTTTGTTCCAAAGCTAATTATCTTGTTCATACTTCCAACTCCTAGGATCAGATAAAGAGACAACAGTAACATGCTTTGTAGCTTTCTAAGACAGCTAGATAGCAGCATCATTGATCCTGAAACAGGTTGCTGAAGCACTTGCAGATTCCTAAATTCCATGCTGCTCTGACTTCATTGGTTGTGGTTCCAGACCCTCAAAAAGCTTTAAATGCTCATATGTGAGAAGGAAATTGTTTAAAATCGAGATGATGAAAAAACCACATCAATTTATTGGATGTGTTGCTTGGCAGAACAGTGAACAGAAGGGCCAGTTTTTACCCTCAGGCATTTTGTTCAGTGTTACAGGATTTTCTTCAAAAAACAGGAACTAGAAGCTCTGGGGAAAAAAAAAAAAAGATGGTTAGATCCTGTTCCTTACCTGATCAAGAGGATTCCTTACAGATCCAAGCTTTCTTGCTTTTTTAATATATAATTTAGGTGTCATGGTTTTCTAGAAAATCAGTAAGGACTTTAAAAATGTCTATTTCTGAATTTCTTTCTCTTGTTTCCTAAAATATTAGCACGTTAAAGATATTATTCTACAATCCAACCCTTTACTGGAGGCCTTTGGGAATGCAAAAACTGTACGGAACAACAACTCCAGCAGATTTGTAAGTCCATTTACCTTAGAGGTTACTTTATTCTTCCAACTTCTCTGCTGTTACAGAGACAGTATTCAGGAATAGAATATAAATTGACTAATGAGGTAAATCTAAATAAAATATAATGTGTGATTTAAAACATAAAGTATATGTTGAGAGGCCTCTACTTCGTTCTGTATAGTTTGCACATTTGTTTCTCTTACAATATGTACTGGTCACAATTTATTTATACAGTGGGCAGTCTGTAACCAAATAACTTAGCAGTAACAAACTGGCCAGTTTTCCAGATCAGTAAAATATACACAGTAATATATGTTTGGGTTTTTGTTGTTTTGTTGTTTTTTGTTTTTTTTTTTTAAAGATAACTTTTTTAAAAATAGATGAAACCACCCTTCCAGTTGTTTGATGGGAAATGCATTCATTAATATGTACAGAAGGAATTATAATAGGCAGGAATTATTTTCAGTCTGTCATTATAAAATAATGAGGATAATATTGTGAAGTGACTGTTCACTAGGTAACGTACTGTAGGTTCCGTTTTTAAAAGTTACACATCGGCTTTACGAATTTGAGATTTGTTCCTCAGCCAATGTAAATGTTAATGCAATTAGTGTCTCCCTGAAATAAAAAGATAATTGCTTTGTCTTGTTTCTAAGCAGAACGCTATGTTTGCCATTGGTCATAAATCTGTTAAATTTACTTCTCGTATAGATGAGCCTTATGGTTTCCTTTATACTCAGCAAGAGTCTCAGCAGTGAAAAGAAGCCACTGACTTCCTCTCTACGTTTGCCGTAACACATGACATATTATCCTGAGTCTAGCGCTGTGTAAATGCAGAAAGAAAGAAAGATAGATATGTGATAGTTCAATAATCTAGGCTTAGGTTATGCCTTGAGGCAGTTGTGTCACTGTATCCATAGATTAAATATCCTAGTAACCTTCCTTGAGATACCGTACAAATGCGTGACTTCAGATTTGTATTTACTAATCATTCAATGGCTTCAATTATTTATTGCAGGGCAAATACTTTGAAATCCAGTTTAGCCCAGGTGGAGAACCAGATGGAGGGAAAATCTCCAACTTCCTACTGGAAAAATCTCGAGTTGTAATGAGGAACCCTGGAGAGAGGAGTTTCCACATTTTTTACCAGGTCAGAAGCGTATAGGTCCTTTCAGAGTTATTTAAAATAACTAGAACCATTTTTTTTTCCTTTTGATTGAAAAGTCATTCTCAACACAGTGAGATTACTGAAAGCATACTCAAGAAAGTAATCTGGATATCATTGGGAAGCTTGATAGCATGTCAAGAGACAATCTAATGTAGACCTGTCTAGCTGCCTTTCAGCTCCAGAACAAAAGTACTTCAATATTTCAAAGGCCACGCTTGGAAATTCACTGTGAACTCCCATATGGAAAAGTCCAGTAGAATAGAATAGAAAATGAGAACTTTCTAACAGAATTAATTTTTAACTGACCTATATAATTATACCTTCTGCTCTGGAATTCCATAGTACAGCTGTGAAAGAGAGATTTGGTTCTCAGTTAAGTTTTCTAGGACATTTAGGATAATAACTATGTGTTGGATCCTCCAAGCATCCCCGCTTTTTTTGTGTTTCAAAAGGCTTTTCTGGCCTTCAGTGGTCCTTGACAAGTGAGTTCCTTATCTGCTGAAGTGCCATTGATCAAGCTCTACGAAGCTAGAGTAAAGACAGCGTGTTGTAAGTGACTGTAAGCAGCTTCACATAAAGTTGAAGTGTCATTGCCAGGATGGAAAGCTGAGTTGGAGCTGGAATTGCTCCAGGAGCTGTGCGTTCTCCTCTTCTGAGGTATACAAACAATTTGCACTGTCCTGCTGATTTTCCTCTAGGCTTTTTGTCGTGGGAGTTAAAAGACAATAGGGTTTTGACTGTTCTTTTCTGAGGCTAGTTTGTTCATTCCTTCCTATGGCAGCCGTGTCTGTGTGCAACTGCATAGACTTTACGTAGGTCTGAGGAGCCTCTCCTTTGGCATCACAGAGAGTACAGGAACCTTTTTTAACCTGTATTCTTGGCCTTCTAGGTCTAAATGATGCAAAGAGGTGCAACTTCAGCCATGCTGCAAATCAGCATAGTATTGGAGCGTTCAAAACTTGCTTAACGTATGCCATAACGGGCATAAAGGATACGTGGCCTCACAATTAGAGCCACAAGTAATGCTTTCTTAGTATGTTCTTTCAACTTTGCCTACCTTTCAGTAGGCATGGAAGACATGTTGCTTCTGAGGATTTAGATAATACATTGCAGACTGGAAAACCCACTTTGGCTTATCTTTATGACGTAAAGATAATGGAAGGCATTCACAAGTCAGTCACAGTTTTTGCTTTTTATTAGATGTGGAAGTTAAAACTAAACCATTCATGGCAATGGGAATGAGAATCTGGTCTTTTGGGTTAAACAATTAACAAAAGACAGGAAGGAAACATACCTGGCACAGCACTCACCATATCTCTCCCAGTAATTTCAGGCTCAGTCACCTGTTTCCAGCCTGCCTTGTCTCTGCTGAAGATTGCTCTGTGATACCTAATTTGAGGATTTTTATTCTGCAGCTAATTGAAGGGGCCACCTCAGAACAAAAAAGCAGCCTTGGCATTACCAGCATGGACTACTATTACTATCTGAGTCTCTCTGGATCCTACAAAGTTGATGACATCAATGACAAATCAGATTTCCAAGAAACACTGGTGAGTTTTTAACTCCATGATTTGCATCGTGGAAGATGTATGTTCATTTCACTTTCCACTCGTAGCAAAGATGTTGATGTATTAATGTGGGAATGAGAAATTCATGTAGCTGTAACTATGTGACCTTGATGCAAGTTATGTCAACTTGCTGGTCTCCTGTTATTAGAAATTAACTATTTAAAATTAAGCATATTAACACATCTTATTTATATATGTAGCACATCTAAAGGCCTAAAAAAAAAAATCATTACTATTGTATTCTAGTTAATTTGGTATTAATTTGTCAGTTGAGAAGACATTTTATAAGATACCATGTACTCTAGACTCCAAATCTCAGTGTTGTGGATTATTTTCTAGTAAGTGGCTGAAATTCACAGCCTAAGCCAGACAGACTGTGCTGCTTTTTAGAGTCATTCAGTATAGCTTAACAGTTCTTAGTCTCAGTGGATAAACTGTCTAAGATAAAGTCATTGTCTCTTGAGTTCATTGTTTCCTGTTTTGCAATGAAACTACTTATTTTTAGTGTGACCCTTAAGAGCAAGTGCTTGTTTCATACTAACTTTAATTTTTACAGAATTTATTTTACTAACACATTCTTTGACTGATTCAGGGTTTGTTTTTGTTTTTTATTTTTCTTCCCAGCATGCAATGAATGTGATTGGGATCTTTGCAGAGGAACAGGCATTAGTGCTGCAGATAGTGGCAGGAATACTTCATTTGGGAAACATCAGCTTCAAAGAAGTTGGCAACTATGCAAGAGTGGAGAGTGAGGAGTGTAAGTACCTCTGGAAACTGTTATAGAATTAGCAACGGGCTGAAACCCAGATGGCATAAGGTGAACTGCAATCTTGAGCTGTTTATCCAAACAGGGTGCATCATTTCTTACAGTGAAAGGCTGCTGATTTAGATTCTCTTCCAGAACCAGTGGTACTGAGGCCCCTGTTTTGTCTTGTGCAATGCCACTGACTTAGTAAGAGAGCAATTTTGCATTTTGGATTTAAGAAATCCTTTTCCAGCCTTTGAGTATGAAATAAAAGAAATTGTGAGGAACGCTATCAAGCAAGCTTGAACTCTGCTCCTTTCAATGCATCAGCACACATTCATAGAAACACCTGCTTCTTATGTGGTTTGTCTGACCTTGTTGCCATGCAAAAGCAGCTACTAACTTGTGGAGTATCCCCAGTCTCAGGTACACACTCAGCTTTCAGGCTTTTCTGTCTATATGTACATGCATCCAGAAGAGGTACCTTGAAAACAAAAATTCAGAATTGAATTCAAATGCAGAATTTACATACTACTATTATTTTCCTTGTCTCAGATTTCTCAACCCATACCTTACTTATCATTGGGTACATGTACTGTGCAACTGTTTCCTTATCCACAGTGCACTGTCCTTGCATCCTTCACCTCTTGCTGCTGTTTTATATCAGCTAGGCTCACAACAAGATGTTGAAAGATTAATGGATCTTGAGTTTTAAACATTTTTGGCATGATTTATACCTTGCAACTAATGTTGTTTCTGTACTACCTCGATAGTTTAAGGACAGAGTGGATAAGCACAGCGTGATAGCTTATACATATCTATCTGTTCTCTTAACTCTTATTTCAGAATGGTCCTTATGTTTAGGAAAACTTGCATTTGTTTAGTTTGAGTTAAGTTAAGTATGAATAAACTATCTCATGCAGTTAACTTCCAACTCAACTGTATTAGTACTCTCCTGATATTTGTTTTAAGAAATTGGGAAATTAGTAATTAACCTTTATTTCTTAATTTGAGAGAATACTAAGTGCAGCCAAAAAAAAACCATCTTGTGGCATTTTATATACCCAAAGAAAAAGTATAGGATTTTTTAATATGCCTTGCAATTCCAAATGAGCTACTGTGCTTCCATTTAAATCACAGTATTAAATTTTTCAATTAAATGAAGACATTTAATAGCCAGACAAGATAGATAGTCTGTTGCATCAAAAAGTAGTAAACTGAAAAGACATGAGCTGAAAATAAGTTGGTAAATGTGAATGTATTTCTATGATGAGCCATGTACACCACATTTCTCTTGCTCACTGGGATATAAATACAGAAGTTGTATATGAATAATACATTGAAAAAATTGGCAGATAGAATATAGAACTTATTCATAAACATAGTGCATTTTAAAGAAGCCAGAGAAGAAATAGCAATATCTAGTAAAATTTCTGCATTATGAAGTTGAAAATTGGATTAATTTCTCTTTCCATTAAGTCTCCCCTCTGCTTACTGTTTGCCCTAGCCAAATAAATAGTAAAGCATTTATAGCCTGGATAGCCATGAAAGATAAGACACAGTGAAAGACCACTGGTTAAGTCGTGCTTTGCATAAGTCTGAAATAATAAAGCGTTTAAGAATTTGGTCAGTAGCGATCTTGTTGTTATATAGCCAGTTGCAGAAAAACATGCAAAGGCAAAAAAACTCTAGTCTCTTATTCTGGGTCAGAATCAAATCTATACGGACCATTCTTGACAGACATTTAGACAAATACTTCTTTAAAACTGCCAGATTGCTCTCTGTTACAGTGTTTGATTATATTAATAGTTGAAAAAAATGTTCTCATTTTTTATTCTAAGTCTTCCAAATCATGCCAAATAGTGCTTGTTCCCTCCTGGATGCAGACAACAATTTAAACTATCCCTCTTTACGCTTACATTGTATTGAAGGATTTGCTTTACACTTTCTGAAAAACGATGAAGTGAACCTAGTCTTTTTCAGCTTTTCTTTACAGATTGCATTTAAAACTATTTCACAGAATGCTATTGACTACTTTTGAGTTACCAGAGATGTTGCCAGCGACTCCGCTTTGGTTCGTTGTGTGGTTCCTCATAGCCTAGGGCAAATCTAATCAGCTTGCTGATGGTAATAAATCACATTTCAGAAAGCTGGTGGTTATTTGCAGTTTTAAAAATAATTTTGGATTAATGTACTGAAGAGTTCAGTGAAACTATGCTGTCATGTTACAAACGTGTAAAGCACGAGTGGCTGCTGCCTTAGTCATTATTTTACATCCTCCTCACACCAGTAAAGTAGATCTGAAAGCAATGGAATGTGGAGGAAACACTGTTAGAGGATTAGGTGGTTTAGCTGAGGTGGAATACCAACTGCAAGGGCTGCCCTTAGGAGCTATTTCCATATGCTTTCAAGCTGTTCGGCTTTTTCCATTTGATAAGGTGTGTGACACCTGCAGCTAACATCTGCACCATGTGCTAAGAATGCAAAGAACAATAAACCTGTGGCTGCTTCTTGCACAGATGTGTTTTTCTGCTTTACTTTTAAACAAGGGAAACCAGAATTTGCAAAGTACATCCAGAATAAGGGATTTAAAAAAAATAAAAATAAAATGGCAAGGCGATTGAAAGCATTTTTGCAATATCCTAACTTAGAAGAAGAGAGGATAGCGCATATATATATATATATATATGAAAGCAGATAGTATGCTCTTTATTATATTTTAAACACTGTATGTTTTTACAAAGAATTTTCAATGGTGTCAATTTTATTTAATGTGTCAGCTCTGTTTTATTTCCATCTCTTCCAAGAGTGATTTGTTTGAACCACATAGTTCAAAACTATGACCTAAGCCAGCTTAACATGTTGAAGGACTGAAGGTACAGAAATAGCTGACTGTTTCAAGGTGGTTTATCTTAATTGAAATCCATGTAAGTAAAGAGTTGAAAATGTCCTTGGGGAGCTTAGTGAAATTTTAAAGACACATATCCCTCCTCTTTTTGTTTTTAGGCTGCATCTCCCATGAGGTTTATTAATGCTGGTTGTTATTAGAGATGCAGTTAATTTTTTTTCCCTTCATTCTCTATTGGTTTAGTCTGTAAATCATAATCCAGCAACCCTGATCTTTCTTGCAGTTTTAGCTTTCCCTGCTTTTCTCCTGGGAATTAACCAGGACCGCCTGAAGGACAAACTGACCAGCAGACAGATGGACAGCAAGTGGGGAGGCAAATCTGAGTCCATTAATGTAACGCTAAATGTGGAACAAGCCTGCTACACCAGGGATGCGCTGGCCAAGGCCCTTCATTCCCGTGTTTTTGATTACTTGGTGGATGTAAGTTGGATTTGTTTGATTCTACTGAAGTATCAAAACAAGTACACTAGGAATGTTCCTTGCAGTACTCTTCTTGCCCATCATTTCTTTCACCCAGTATGTTTCTTTGCCTAAAGCTTAGCAGCAGCACTGAGCAACGCACTGGGAGCATGACCACAGATACCAAATGCAAGGCACTGATTGTATGACAAATGCTACACTTTCTTTGAATCAAATGAGCTGTGCTTTCAGTGCTGTATTTGCTCAGGCCCCTGCCACAACTGTCCCATATAATATTCTGACATCTCCGTCCTCTCAGCATCCATACTTCTCCGAGTCTGACTTTCTCCTACGCTGAGCATTTTCAGAGGAGCAGAATCAGTGTGTTATGGTCCCTGCTCTCTTACCCCACTGTCCCACAAAGAACCCCTTCAGCATCCTGATATTGTGGCATTTGAGCAAACGGTCACATTCCACTCTCCATGCTGAAGTACTCTCTTGTTCAGAATGAGACCCTGGGCTGGGTTGGTGGGTAAGAAACCTTACCTTTGGCCACAGATACTGGCTACATGTCTCGGAAGTCTCCCTCATCATGACAGCTCTGTAATTTCCACTATGTGCCTGTACCCGCACTGACACTGTGAAGTTGGGGAATACAGAACATCTGCAAAATGCATAAAATAACAGACTTAAAGCTGTTCTTTTTTTGTTGGCTCCTTTTTTTCTTTAACTGAGCCAGTTATACCGAAAGGGAAAGATTTTTACAAACAGTAGATCCAAAGGCTCACTAACCTGGAAAACAGGATAGTATACTCTTAATTTCCTAGTGAAAGTAAAATACCCTAGTACATGTATTTCTATTCCATTCAAATATGTTATTTTTGAAGAAACCAAATATTTTTATATGAAGATTTAAGGATATGAATATATATATTTTGAATATATAAACTATACTTTGTTTTACTTTTTTTTTTTTTCCCTATTTTATTAGTCTATTAATAAGGCTATGGAGAAGGACCATGAAGAATATAACATTGGTGTCCTTGATATTTATGGCTTTGAAATATTCCAGGTAAGACAATGCAATACTCAGGATTTGAGCTGATCTGACCTGGGAGAGTTTTTTGTTGTTTAGAGGGGAGAAAATCCAAAAGAGAAAGGAAGAAAAAAAAACCCAAACAAACCAAAACAATGCACTAAACAAATCCTGTGGCCAGAAAAAAAGAAAAAAAAAAAATCCAATCTGGCTTACTGGACATTGAGTTCTCACTCATAATGTATCACTTAATAAACATGAAGTATTGAAGAAACTTAAAAGAAACTAGGTCATTGATCTTAAAAGAAAGATCTGAAATTACACAGAATGTCTATAAAATCAGCAACCCATCCATCATTGACAGCGTTTCTTTGAAGCTTACTGCCAGCATAAGAACTAAGAATTATGTATATCAAGCATGAGACTAATTTTTAAATTGTTTCCTTTTCTATAGAAAAATGGTTTTGAACAGTTCTGCATCAACTTTGTAAATGAAAAACTGCAGCAGATTTTTATTGAACTTACACTGAAAGCAGAACAGGTAACCAGACATTTATTATTTTTTAATTCATAAATGAACTATTGCCTTTTCAATTGGTGGAAAAATTGAGGTTTCATCATCTGCTAACAATAAAATTTGCCTTGTTAAGCAAGACAAAGGGAAAAAAAACCCACTGTGTTGTTGGCTAACCCTAAAACTGTAAACCACATCAGCTACAGACATTTATTCTCTAATACAGTGGTACGGAAGTGAGTCCATCATACAGTGTACTAATGCAGTCATATGACTCTGCCCAGACTTGCTGCATATTCTGACTCATTGACAGAAATGGAAAACTGCAGTTTAGTTCCATCCCTGTGCTTGTGTTGGACATGACGTACAGTTAAATGGGAACACTTTTCTTAATTTCCTCCACACCCTTTTTTATATGTATATATATGAATTAAATAGATTACTGAGACAATGCAAAAATACTTCTGAAAGTATTTGCAGTACTCTGCTCACAGTCTTACTGCAAAATCTCCCTTTAGGTGAATGTGAGCTTCTGCATGGGAGGGCAGACAGAATGCAGCTGAGACAGAAGCATTGTGTACAGTATGAGCTCAGGCCTGGCACCAACTTTAGGACAGTGTTTTCAAGAATGCGCATACACAATTGCCTTTGTATAAAAGTAACTGATTATTGCAGTTGAGCACACAAATAACCTGCTAAGTGTTAAGCTGAACTCGGATGTGTGCAATTTTTTCCCCAGTCAGTCTCTAGATGTCTTTATGGTTACAGTAATTGCATACAGAAATAAAAAGCAGAGCTGTGTCTCCATTTCACGTGCACTTCTAAACGTGTTGTTTTAGGGGTCTAATCCTGGATATGCCTATCACAATCTTAATTTTAAAAATAGATTAGGATGTGGATGATTAGGTGCACTGTCAAGATATTGTAAAAGTCACACTGTTACTATTTGCAAAGGGCTTTGACAATAAATGCACTGATGAAATATTCCTGCTCTTCTGAGTAACTACTCAGAAGACAAAAGAATGCGTGGGGAGAACAGCAGGATTCAGATTCACCTCCTAGGCAGCAGAGAGCTGGATTTAACTATCATTAGGATAATTTCTCCCACCTCCCCCCAGTCCTTCATTTGACAAGTCTTTCTGAACATGAGTAGTGCAGAGTTTGTGTATATGTAGTGCATTGTAAATCTAGTGCTGCATTCATGGTGCAAAGGCGTATTTGCATCTTTCTTTCTACTTAACAGGAAGAATATGTGCAAGAAGGAATTAGATGGACACCAATAGATTACTTTAACAACAAAATAGTGTGTGACCTTATAGAGAACAAAGTGGTAAGTATTTAGAACAAACAGATGGAAAAAACAACAAGACTTTTCTCCAAAGTATTTGGGCAACTGCTTTGCTGTTGAGAGCGTTCATAGGAAAAATGCAAATACTGTTGTTCAGTTACTGAGTCATACTAAGTCTATATATAAATCTTACATAAGATGTCTTATAAGAGCTTTAAGATATATGTTACCTAAGATATCAATTAAAGAGAGAAACATAGGACAGCATGATTGATGTTTCCCCCCCCCCCCCCCAAAAAAAAAAAAAAATTTTACACCTAAATTTATCATTAACTTCATGACTTATTCTACTGTGTATCAGATAAAGCTCTATGTGTCCCTAGGAGATGTATTTTAGTTTGGGGAATCTACAATACCAGGTTCCTTTGAGGTACTGTCACGAATTAAGCAGAAACAAGTGAAGAAGCATTAGGAAGTATTGTAGATAAAAGAATTTCTGTGTCTTTGCTCCACAGAATGTTCTGCAGTTTAAAGTCTTTTTCTTGTTTGAGGTGACAACAAATGTTGAATTGTCCTTTGGACAGAAGTAGGTTGGTTTTCAGCTAGTTCTTTGTCCTTATGTAAGCCAGATATAACAGTAGTTCAAGTACTATAGTGACTTGGGCTTAAATCAGATCTTGCGCATCTCCCATCTGTGTCAGTATAACTAGGAAGAGGATACGGTTTCTGTCACAATCTTAGATATTTAGCTCCAAGTTTGTCAAACTACAACATATGAATTTAAATACTTGCCTCAGACATGGGTTTATTTTTTGGTGGAATGAGAAAGAAAATTGCTTTGTGAAAGAACTGGAAACTAAGACAAACGTTAGGCGTTTTGGGTTTTTGTTTTTGAACAGCATTCATTGTTTTCCACATCATTTCCCACTATCAGTGTCATTACACAAAGTGGTATCTCTCCTTAAACTATTTGCATGCTTGTGTACAAATTAATCTCTACTGTGAACTCTGCTAATTGGGGAATTCTTCCTGCTGTAACTTTGCTCTAGTGTTTTGGTAGCAAACATAATCTTTCTTTTTTTCCTCACTTCTTTTGCTGTTTTTGTTATTCTTCTCCAATACATTAGAATCCCCCAGGCATTATGAGCATTTTAGATGATGTGTGTGCCACAATGCATGCAGTGGGAGAAGGAGCTGACCAAACACTGCTTCAGAAACTCCAGATGCAGATTGGGACTCATGAACATTTCAACAGCTGGAACCAGGGATTTATCATTCATCACTATGCTGGAAAGGTAATGTGGAAAATCATCACTGAATTCTGCATAATGTATTTGTAAAGAAGAAGAACAGTAATGAAAGGAAGGAGGAAGCCTTGTAGAGGGCTATTTTGATTTCGAATAGCCAGATTATCTCAGGAGACAGTGTCCTCCTTTCACAGTGTAGGGAGTTTAGAGCAAAATGTCCCTTAAATTAGGAGCTGAGGCCTTGATATCAAACATACTAACCAGAACTTAGTATTAAATGTAATAAATGAATGCCCCATGTCTTTTATTAATTATAATCTTAATTGTTGGTTATAGTAGCAGTAAATTTAAAGAATTCAGATCTACAAACAATCTTTAGGTGATGAGATACCAATAAAACTGGGAATATAATGTACAGTTCTATCTTCTTTGGGTTTATTTCTCAGACTATTAATGATTTCCTGCAGTTACAGTTATTAATAGTAAACCCTTGTTATGCAAAAATTTTTCTTCACTAAAATTCAGTATTAAATTCACTTGTGTCATATTCCATTCACTAGCTCCCTAACACTTCTTTTTCACTGAATTTAAATATATGGGTGAAATTCCTTTTTTTTGTTGTGAAAGAGTTAATTAATAATATATGCAAGGTTTTAGTGATCATTGTAGTATCTTTAAGTTATACCAGACTAATCAAAAAGTTTAGACAGCTACTGATGAGGACAGAATTTAAATTTTCTTTAAGTATTGTGTTCTCAACTTACCACAAACACTCAATTTCCACCTTGGCCCAGGTATCTTATGATATGGATGGATTCTGCGAGAGAAATCGGGATGTTCTTTTCATGGACTTGATTGAACTCATGCAGAGCAGTGATTTGTACGTAAGCAACTCTTGCTTAAAGCCAGGAATAACATGTTAGTTTAGATGGATGCAGAGGGCCCGACTTCTCCGCTTTGCAACTTGTGAACTCATTTGTATAAAAGTGGAAACAAAACATCACTGCAATAGAACAGTATCACTTATATTATATTGACCTTCCTTTTCTGCAAATCTGAATAAGTAAGGTGCTGCTGTGTCAGAATCAAATGGTATAATGGCAGCCATTTGTTTTGGGGTTAAACAAGGCCATCAGTGATTTTGCGTTTTCTCAGAAGAGGCACTGTTTTAACATGTAAAGTAACATTTTTTTGTTATGTATTTTAATTAATTGATGCTTATTTTTTGAGAAGTGCATGTTTCTTGGAGTCTAGAAGTCTGGTATCATGTCTTCCAAGGCTCACTAAAATAGCAAGGGATCTCTATGAGGAATGAAGCTCATGGAAAATATTAATCTTAAAATAGATTTGGTATAACTCCAGATTAATAGAAATAACTATTTATATTCGGCTCAACTATCAACTTTTACAGCATATTCCTTGACATTCCTGCATTGAATTGTCTTTCTATGCCAACATTTTTATTAATTCTTTCCTAGGCCTTTTATAAAGGCTCTATTTCCTGAAAATCTTCAAGTGGACAAGAAAGGCCGTCCTACCACTGCGGGCAGTAAAATCAAAGTATGTCTAGTTTTGCTGTGTTAGTTATGTGCATATGTGGGTGTGTGTTTGTGTATGGATACCTAAATTTAAAAAAAAACCCAAAACTGCTGTTTTTGACTGTGCAGACATTTCTAAAGATAGACATCAGGAGTACCTTGATTGCAAAGTGATGCATTGTTTCAGCTGTTAGAATAGTGTTTTGCCCAGCATGCTGTTCATTAAATGTTTTGTTCAGCTGCCTTCTACAGCAGTGAATTTTCCAAATGAGCATTTGATGGTAGTGATAGTAGTACTTGCATGTGCATAATGAATGAGCCCCTTCACTCAGCCACTTGATGCCCTACAATTAACTACAGATAACTGGTCTCTTTATAGTGCAGAAATGCAGCGGGGCCTGATCCAACGCCCACTGAAGTCAACAGAAGTCTTTCTACTGACCATAATGTGCCTTGAATAAGGCAGCAAGTGTTAGAAGGCGAGCATCTTTTTGGAGACTGGTTGTAAAATATACGCTTAGATTATACACTTGCAGACTTTAGAAATTGATATTTTATCAACCCCTTTCCTCATATTTCACTCTGACAGTCAAATACACCTGAGGCATTCCTTGTCAGTCCATATTTTTATGTACTAGTTTAAATATATTGCATAGCTGAAGATAAGAGTGCCTTCTATTTACTAATTAATTTTTCATGAGGTGCATATTACTCCAAGGGGCAGACTTTGGTTGTTCTGGAGAAAGACCCAAGTCAACTAAATCCAGTCAACTGAATCATCATCAGATGGTTGATAATTTTTAGAGTTCTCTTGTGGGATTTCACAGAATCATAGAATGGCTTGGGTTAGAAGGGACCTTTAAAGGTCATCTAGTCCAACCCCTCTGCAGAGAGCAGGGACACCTTCAACTAGATCAGGTTGCTCAGAGGCCTGTCCAATCTGACCTTGAATGTTTCCAGGGATGGGGCTTCTACCACCTATCTGGGCAACCCGTTTCAGTGTTTCACCACTTTAAACTACCCCAGTATTTCACCACCCTGATTTACCCTGTTCAGCTCAGATCCTATTGTTTTGCCTCAATTTTACAGAAACAAGCAAATGACCTTGTTGGCACTCTGATGAAGTGTACACCCCATTACATCCGCTGCATCAAACCAAATGAAACAAAGAAGTCTCGAGACTGGGAGGAGAGCAGGTATGGATAAGGAGATGATGTGATGAGAAACAGTGCTAATAGTCATAATTTGTAATCATACAGCCTATGGACAAACAGAAGCAGATATTCTAAAACCTTTGGAAATGAAATCTGGCATGACCTCTCCTAAACTTTGAAGATAAGCTGTGGTCAGTTTGCTTAAATCAGCAGCTAGTATATGCAGTTCTTTGCTTTTCTCATACAGTTATGAATAATCACTATTTGCATAACAGTAACACAATCGGTATAGTAAAGACTCTGTTTCTCCATGTAGAATTTGCACACCAAATGCATTGTACATCAATTCTAACTTCTGCTTTATGCTTTGAAAACACTTTCTGTTAGGCAGCCAAAAAGCCAGCAGGATGTCTGTATTTGCTTTACACTTACCAGAAAGTCTCTATAGCCAAGAATGTAGTAGGTTCTTTTTTTACTTCTTGATTTTTAAGTCTCATTAGCCAGCTCTCTAAAGAGAAGTCACTAGAATACCATATCAGGTGGTTTTATAGACATTAAATAGACGTCTAAATCAGTTTGCTTTATTGCATCTGTTTTAGGGCCTCTTTTAAGTATATGATGCTTTATAGCATCTTCCTGTTTCCTGAAAAAAGAGACTCTTCTTTTTTGCACTGAGGTAGATGATCAGTACGGTAAGTATGCTATGTGAAGTCTTAAGATAGATAACATTTATTACTATATATTGGTAAACGTGCTGACAAAGCAAGTGATTATTTCTATCACAGTGAAACAACTTGCAGAGTCTGATTAAAAGCATTCTTGACCATATCAACACCACCCCAGAATTCACTTGCTGCCTTTTGGCATGCAGGCTAGCACAATTACATGAAGATGTAGAGCACTACAGAAGCCACAATTGGGACTGCACTTGAAAGTGTCACTTAGGCCTTGACAGTAAATGTAGACCCTCTTTC